TGCCTTTTTTACAAGGAGTACTCATTTTTTTAAACAGGGAGAGCATGTAAAGTTCAACTATCGTCCAATAAAGCAAGGACTATATACGTCTCATCATCCAAGGCAGTATATACGCATTGTTGAGTTGGTTAGATAGTTGAGAATTCGAATATTTAATTAATAGAGCCACCGTGCATGCAACATGGCCATGCACCAGATCGCTCGTTTTTATAGGAGGTTCTTTGATAGCCACGGTCCTCATGCAGGGTTATCCACAAATCCAATAACCGATTAGACATGGGAGTACATACTCTTAGGAGTATAAAAGAGGAGTCTATATATGTATATATATATATATATATATATATATATATGGAAAATTCATCCTACCACCCGGTGGTAGTTACCCCACATGTCTCATATACTAGCATGTGGTACTATATATACTATTTTATTATTTTAAATATGTTCGTATACTATATCTAAGATATTTCAAAACAAGTTACATGAAAAAATTTCATATGAACCCATAGTTTTTGTTATATTTGTGAAATACGTACATATTTGTACGTAAAAAAGAGCATACTCAAAAAATGGTACATACTACCTAAAAATTTATATATATACTATCTAATCATTGTTATATACTACATACTACACATACATACTCTCAGTTTCAACAGATACTACATACAACATATAAAACGCAAGTGGTGGTAACTACCACTTCTTGTAGGCCCATGAGGCTCAAGCAATACAACAACTATTCCATCAATCCTCACTCCCTTCTAACATGGTATCAGACGCAAGTCGATCCTAAATCCTAGCCGCCGCCGCTTCCGCACCTGCGCGCCGCCCGTATCTAGGGTTCGTCCGCCGGTCGTGTTGACCGGCAAGGAGTCTTTTCCCCGAGCCTTGCTCCGGGCTTTTCTCTCTCCCGCCGGTCATCTTGATCGAGCGGTTTCTTTTTGGTTTTCCAATCTATTATTGATCAGTTTGCGTCACCCACCGCCGCCGTCGACCACGATCGCCTCTACTCCGACCCCGGCGCGACCAGCCGGCCTCTCCTCCGACCCGGCGGCCACATGCGCCGAGGCGGCCCGTCAGGGCCAGCCATCGGCCGCGCGTCGGTCTGCCCATCACCCTGCGCCAGCCGTCACCGCCCTGCTCCGACCGGGACACCTGCATCGCCCCGACCAGGCGGCCTCGCGCCATGCGACGACCAATCATAGCCGTCGCTCGTGCGTCGGCCCGCCCATCGATCCACGTCACCCGCCTCCGCCACATCTGTATGGCGGCCCAGCGGTCTACCTCGCCGGCCTCGTCCTCGGCTGCGTCGGGATGGCTGCATCAGGCTCGTCGGCTGCCTTAAGTCGGGCGCCGCTGCTCCATTGGTCGCTCGGGCCTCGCTGCCTGGGCGCCGGCGTTGCTTTGGCAGCCCGGGTGCCGGTGCTGACAAACTCGTCCGCACGATGTCTCACGCCGTCTGCCGTCGCCGGCTTCATCTCGGACTCTGCCGCCACCACGCCTCCACCGAGCGGCGTCCCCGACCTCGCGCGCGATCGGCTTGATCACCCACTCGCCGCCGCGATCCGCCTCATCTACGCGGCGCGACCGACCTGACCAGTCAGTTACACGCGCCTCCGCAGGTCCCGTGAAGATCGTGCCCGAGTTCAGCGCGCTTCTCCATCGATTGAGCATCGGGCTGCCGCTGCGTTGCCCCGTCGGGCTGCAGCGCCGCCGCCCCGTGATTCTCCTCGCGGCTGCATCGACTCGTGCGTCGCCACTGCGTATCTCCTTTGGGCCGTAGTGCTGCGATACGCGGTCCCCGCTGCCGCCCCGAGGCCGTCCCCTCGGTTGCACCGACTCGCGAACCGCCGTTGCGTCGCCCCTTCGGTCCACAGCGTCGCGGCCCGCGGTCCCCGCCGTCGCCCCGAGGTCTTCCCGCCATCGCCCCGACCCTCATGCCGCCGCTGCGTCGCCCCTTCGGGCCGTAGCGCCGCGGCCGACGATCCACTCTGCCGTCACCGCGCGTCGACCTCCCATGGTATGCGCCGCGCCGTCTCCCTTGGCGCGGGAACGCCACCGTCCGCGCCGGTCTTTGTCACGCTGTCAGAGTTCTTCGCCTACTTCGAGCACCGCCGCCGCACTTTTAACCTAGGTGGACAGTGATATCCCCAACCCACCAGGGTTCAAATCCTGGTGCTCACATTATTCCTAGATTTATTTTAAGATTTCCGGCGATGCGCTTTCAGTGGGAGGAGACGTTCCCGTCGACGACGAGGCGCCTACGGTGACTTCGTAAATCTCAAGATGATATGCCGGCTTAGTCTCTCAGAGGTGGTCATAGGGGTAGGGTGTGCGTGTATGCATTCATAGGGATGAGTGTATGCGCGTGTATATGAGCGCTTGTGTCTGTACCGATGCTATAAAAAAAGGATCAATACTTGATAGGTGTCCGCGTACTTGCCTTCTAGCCGGATGAATGATCTCCCCACTAGAGATACACATAGGGTACTTGGAGATGTATAAATACACGCAGTCCCGGGCGCCGGTATACAGGTATTTGAAACTGACGCGCGGGGCGTACGGGTGTATGTATGATTCAGCGAGGCGTCGACGGGAGCTGCACCGAGCCTCTACGTCTGCATAGTTAGCTAGATACCTGATCAAATACGGGAGTGATGTAGCTCATACCATGCATGCAATCAACAAGTATACGCTGGTTGGTACGTGGGCAAAATCAACGTGCATGCATACACGTGGAGCCCAACTAAGGATTAGCTGGTGCATGCCCGTACGTGTACATCCAAATATCAAACATGGACGTATAATTTGCACTTCAAGAAAAAAAACATTTGAATTTAAACATAGAAATTCTGAAAGCAAGAAACACAAAAACACATCAAACACATTTATTTTGAATAATTAAAAATTCATAAATTTCAGTTTTAAAAAAATCTGAAAAAATGCACATGTATGCAATGATGTAAACTGTATGTGTGGAAAATTTCAGGACGTAATACCTTGAAATGCAGGCTGTACAAAAAAACCAAAATCATGGACTTTATAGATGAACAATACATATGCTAAAAGGCCCCAGATTTGCCTTTTTTGTGTAGCTCATATTTTATTGTATTTTGACCTGCAAATTTGCACACATGTACATTATGTATCTAGGTATATGTGTATTTAATCTCAGAATTTTTTGAAACTGAAAAGTTTGAATTTTAAAGTTTTTAATTAAAGGTTCCCATGAAGCTCGGTCTTCGTTTGGCATTTTCAATATTTATGCCGCTTCATACTTCTGTCACGTGTGTAGTGCTGTCAGGTTCAAGCCCGTCCTTGCAATAAAATTATCTATAGCGGCAAAGTGGGCCTTGGGCATTGTGCAAGAAACTGAAGCGGGCTGTGCGTCATTCGGCCAAACACACTTTTGGAGTAGAAGTTTGAGCCCAGATCAACTAATTAACGAGCGCTTCTTCGAAAGCCTCGCAACGATCAGCGTTACTGGACGCACTCTTAGTCATTCGTCACATGTAGCGTCCTGGGCGTTTCCTCTGGATTTTGTTTTTATTATTTTTCCGCACGTGTTTTCGACTTTTTAAACGGTTTTTTTGACGTTTTGGTTTTCCACCGGTATTCCCTAGCTTTTCGCCCAATTTTTTTTGATTTCTTTGCGCCAAAAATCATTTTTTTTTCACGAGGGTCACGGTTTTGCTTCCGCGAGAGTCACAGCCGTGCCTCTCGGAAACGGAAAAAATGCATTTTCTGCGAGAGTCACGGTTTTGCTTCCGCGAGAGGCACGGTTGTGCTTTCGCGAGAGTCACGGCCGTGTCTCTCGGAAACGAAAAAAACAGGTTTTCTGTTTTTTATCTTTCATGAGAGTCACGGTTTTGCTTCCGTGAGTGGCACGGTTGTGCTTTCGCCAGAGTCACGGCCGTGCCTCCTCGAAAATGAAAAAAAAAATGCGTTTTCTGTTTTTTTTGTGAGAGTCACGTTATTGCTTCCACGAGAGGCACGGTTGTGCTTTCGCGAGAGTCACGGCCGTGCCTCCTCGGAAACAAAAAAAAACGCGTTTTCTTTTTTTTCCCCCGCGAGAGTCATGGTTTTGCTTCCGCGAGAAACACGGTTGTGATTTCGTCAGAGGCACGGGCGCGCTTCTTTCGGTAAGGTAAAAAACCCGTGCTCCCGGTACAGTTTTCTCATCCGTTTTTTTTCGTGAAAAAAAGTTCGTCAAAACCTATCAACATGGTATCTAGTTTTGAAGATCTGTACGCGAGGAATCCAACAGCGAAAGCGGTTCGAGATTTGGACGCACGTCGTAAGAGATAAAACATTTTGAATAAACGGATCTACAGAAAAAGGAAAAACTCTTGCGGTGCAGCGCCACTTGTCGCAACCTGGGGGGTTGGAGTGATCTTCGCAACGAGTACTCTTTAACTAGTGATTTCGGTTTGAGCCTGTATCTCCGGGTTACAGTGGAATAGCGGAAAGGAGCAGCAAAAGCCCAAACATAGAAGGGAAAACAAACGTGCTAGCGTGCAGATGGGTACTTGAGCTACTATATGCTTGGGAGACTTGGTCTGATGGAACATTGTGCTACTCCGCAGATAGACTTGGTCAGATTAATAGTACATTGCCTCTCTTGACCTCTCTTTTCTATCAGTGGAAACTCCGCCGCCGGATGACAAGGAACCCTAGGTTTTTTCCTAGGGACAAGGAAGCATATAGAAACCCACATGCAATTATCTAGTCCGACTAGAAGGGCAAATTCCTTTAGTACGTACGTACAATTTTGGACAACTCTCGCTCTTCGGTTTTGTGAAGCTGGGCTTCGGCTACTACGTAGGAGTACGCCTTCTTTTCTCGCCTAGGAGATTGCGCAGGAAGCTGTTGTCGCTTGGCTTATTTAACCCCTTTCTGTTTGACGGCCATCACTAGGGGCCATTTCATGGAGGTCAGGAGCTATATAGGGTGAGCTTGTTGACGAGCTTCCAAACAAGACCCCGCCGCAGCAAATGGCTGCTGCCGTGAGCTTTTCCCATCAAATGCACACCTGCCTCATGCTCCTCTGCTACTCGATATGGTCTCTGCACCTGCCTTGCCCTACCTCCTCGCTTTATTTCAACGCCAACTTTTCAGACCCCGAAGCCTATTACCCCGGCTTGAGTTTCCAGGGTGATGCCTACCTTGACGCTCAGTCTCGGACCATCCAGCTAAGAAGAGCCGTTGAGAGCCCCAACATCCAGAATAGCGTAGGCCGAGCGTTCTGCTCGACGCCCGTGCCGTTGTGGGATAACGCCACTGGCGAGCTTGCCCGTTTCACCACCTCCTTCACCTTCCGAATCAAGGTAAACGGTACGATCAGCGGCGATGGCTTTGCTTTCTTCCTCGGAAACTATCCTCCGAGCAGTCCAGATCCCCTCGAAGACAGACAGAACCTAGGTCTCTACAACGGAAACGCCAGCACGGTCGCGACCGGCAATGACCGAGCTGTGGCAGTTGAGTTCGACACCTTCTTGAACGTTGGCGTCGACACCAGCAACAGCCACATGGGCATCGACGTCAACTCCATCATTTCTCAGGCGTACACCAACGTTACCCTGGCTGGCAACAACCTAACATCCGACCTTCCTATGACTTGCCACATAATTTACGGCAACGAATCAAAAACCCTAGCGGCTGTTCTCGAGGTCGGAGACACAACATATCGTGTCAACACCAGTGTTGACCTGAGGCTCATGCCTAGTGTGGTGGCCATCGGCTTCTCGGGTGCTACCGGTGAGGCGGACGAGTTACACCAAATAATTTCATGGTCATTTGACTCCACCTTGGACCTGCCCAGTGCCCCGGCGCCTGCATGGAGGAGCACTAAGAGTCCACCGCCTGCACCGAAGACCCTACCCAAAGGACGGCTAGCAAAGGTAACTGGACCAATTATTGGAGTTATTGCAATTGTGTGCATCTTTGTTGGCGTGCGTCGATGGCAACTATGCATGAGAAAGAAGCGTCACAGAGCTCTCGCCGGGGGGCTTGGAGATATTGGTTATCTTAAGTTGGCGCGTGCGACCAACGAATTTGCAGAGGAAAACAAGCTCGGGCAAGGTGGTTCTGCCTCTGTTTATCGGGGCCAACTAGCAAGTCCAAGTAGACCAGTGGCGATAAAGAGATTCAAGCTGGCAGAATCAGGCGAGGAGAGGAAGGCATTTGAGGACGAACTCAGGATTGCCAGTCGGCTCAGGCACCGGAACCTTGTCGAATTGATAGGTTGGTGCTACGGTGGACAGAGGAACCTGGTTGAGCTTATATGCTGGTGGCAGGACGACAAGTACACCCGTCTCTTCCTTGTGTATGAGCTTTTGCCACAAGGTAGCCTGGATCAACACCTACACGGGGGCAATAGTTGGTTACCATGGTCCAAGAGGTATGCATTATAATTCCATTTCGAGAGCATTTACATCATTGCATGCAACTTCGTTTTTTCTTGATACATAATGAATGGTTACATGCTTTGATAAACAGGTACCAGATCATCCTCCACCTAGGCTCTGCACTGCAATACCTCCACGTAGATTGTGAGCAACACCAACAGTGCATCGTACATGGCGATATCAAGTCCAGCAACATATTGCTTGACGCTTCATACAGTGCCAAGTTATGTGACTTCGGATTGGCAAGACTTGTTCACCAAGAAAGTGGGTCAAAGACCACAGACCTTGTGCAGGGCACCTACGGATATATAGACCCTGTGTTCATCGACACGAGCCAGCGGAACAGGCAGTCAGACATATACAGTTTTGGCATTGTCCTACTAGAGATAGTCTCTGGAAGGAACCCAACGGTGACTCTCCATGATACGCCTCCGTTGCCATCATGGGTAAGGAGTTTGTACTAGGACAATGCGATCCTTGAGGCGGCAAATGACAGGCTGATAGGCGACGAGTCCAGTTTTGGGCGACAACAAATGGAGCGTGTGCTACTTGTCGGGCTCTTGTGTGTGCACCAGGACCCGAGCAGCCGGCCGTCCATCACCCACACCATGGATGCCCTGCGATCGGAGGAGCTAAAACTAGACCTCACTCCCCTGGCGCCGGCGACACTCTCGCTGCCGTAGCCTTTGTAGTTCAGGCTTCTAGTCCAAAGAAATACCATACATGTACTCAAGGCATACAGATTGAGTAGCGATGTATCGGGAATAGGAATAATGTACTACTTCATCCATCCCAAAATAATTGTCGTTGATTTAATACAACTTTGTACTAATCAACAACACTTATTTTATGACAAAGGGAGTAGAAAGTTGGATGTGTGCATCAACTGACCGCACATTTGAGAGGTGGCTAGATTTCTTCGATGCTAGTACGCATGTTGATTTTTTAGTATGATGTTGAATACATATTTAACCATCTTTTCCGTATTGATATGCTTGTATGAAACTATAATTGATATGCTTGTCTGAAACGATAAATGATAATATCAAGAAAATACGCAACGGTTATAATAACAATACTTTAGTTGACTAATTTAATTATAAACATGAATATACATTGCTTGTACATAAATTGTGCCACCTCTTTATCCACCAGCCCCCATATCAAACCATATGGTATAGTTGCATTAATCAATCAGCATAGTATTTATGTAAAATTGAAAACGAAAAATCTTAGTTACACCTTGAGTTAAAAGCATTATTTAGAAATGAATCCACCAATCATGTTTTTTTTTTGCATTTATTTGGCTCATTCGCTGCTAACCATGGCTTGCTTCTACGCTTCATCATTGATAGTTAGCCATTAAAGAAGGATCACCTCATATTTGTTTGGAGGATCTTCACAAAAAAATTCAAACCTTAATACCGATGATTGATATATAAACCTTAGGTTCTATTTATCGACCTGCTTCAACACTGATTGTATTGTGATTATTTTATTCCGTTAGTGGAGTGGCATGCATCTAGATGGTTCTATGGCACATGCAACTGATTTAAGTCTATTCTGAAGTATTTACTCTATATGGAGTTCTAACCGGGTTAAGGATGTGGCTCTTAAATATTATATAGTCAACACAAACGTTTTTTGTTGCTAGGCCAGTATATTATGGAGGCTTTATTATTCTGCATGAAATCACCCACAAATTATATAATAAGAAGTTGGATGGAGTTATTTTCAAGATCAATTTTGAGAAAGCCTACGGCAAGGCGGAACGCTCCCTCGCGTTCGTTCGTTGGAGCGATCATTCGATTGAAAGCCCCGCACACTCCGACAGCCTCCCTTAATTCATGTTGGACCCTACCACATGCATGCAAAGTCCAGCAAAGACGTGCACAGGCTTCAGGCCCACCATAATTAGCCCAGATGAAGGGTTTCTCTATGATTTATAGAGCTTGGGTTGTAACTTTGCTTAGAAAGGTAGTGCTTCCATTGAAGTAAACGATGGCGTTGAACAATTTTTTCAATCTAAGAAAGGGTTACATCAAGGGGATCCTTCATAACTTTATCGCATATTATATTTAGTACAATGGTTGGCAAGTTAAGTATCTTCATGAATTCTTCGCAAAAAGAAGTATCTTCATTAACATAGGTAGTCAGATTAGAGGTCTTACCGCTCATCTAGTTAGTTGATGATGGCTGTTTATTCTTAGATGTTCGAATGGAGCAAATATGAGGCTTGTTATTAATTTCGCCTGTACGCATGATGTGCGTGCGACGTGACATCGAGGTCCAACCCCCGATAGCTGGTTGTTGGTTTGCATAATGAAATCTATATCGAAGACTTGGAGATCAGAAGTTATGTATCTGCTTGTTGACGAGCTTCCAAAGATGAAGCATCAAATAACTGTTGTGAGTTTTTTTCCACATAACGCATATCTTCATGCCCCTCTACTACTTGATATGGTCTTTGCACCTGCCTAGTGCTGCCCTGCGTTCTTTCCGCTACAACTTCTCTGGACCTGGTGGCTATGACGCCCAAGACTTTCAGTTTTCAGGGCGATAGACGCCAGCCTCAGATGATCCATCTGACAGAAGCAGGAGAGAGTCCGAACATCCAGAAAAGATATAGTCTGATCGGTGCACGTGCAGCACGTGCCGCTGTGGGGCGTCGCCATCGGCGAGCTCGCCCGATTCACCAGCTCCTTTTACCTTCCAAAATCAAGGTAAACCGTGCAATCAGTGGCGCCGATTTCACTTTCTTCCTCGGGCATTATCCTCCGACGAGAATTCCCAATCTCCTCGACAACGGCCAGAACATCTTCAAGTAAAATTTCAGCAGGGTCACGTCCGGTGATGACTGAGCCGTGGCGGTTGAGTTTGACACGTACATGAATATTGAGGTCGACACCAGCAAAAGCCCAAACAAAGAAACAAACGCGTACAGCTTCCGAGGACTTCCTCAACTCCATGTATTGTTTGGCCGTGTGCTTTATTTATCAAGTGGGACGAACGGCTGTTTTGATTTGAAAAAAGAAACAAATACCACAAACACGCTAGCATGCTGACGGAATAACATATGCTTCAGATTTGGTCAGACAGCACATATATCTACGTAGGAGATAGCACAGAAAGGTGTCCCGGCGTTGTCGTTTGGCTTATAGTTTTCTGTTCAACGGACATTACTAGAGGCCATTGCAACTTGTAAACAGGATGGGCGTGCAATGTCGGAAGATTTCGAAGCTAGTTGTTCGTGTGCATCGCGAAATATTTGTTTGTAGGTTTCGAGGTCAGAAGGCAGAAGTTATATATGATGTGTGTTTGTTCACGAGATTCCAAACAAAACGTAGCAAATGGCCGCTGTGAGCTTTTCCCACCGAATACTCTTCATGCTCCTCTGCTACTCCATATGGTCTCTACACCTACCTCGTGTTACCTCCCTTTCTTTCAGCTCCAACTTCTCCCAGCCCGGCTACGACGCCAGGGACTTCAGTTTCCAGGGCGACGCATACTATGACTCCCAGTCTCAGATGATCCAACTGACAAGAAACGGTACGGGTCCAAGCATCCAGAACAGCGTAGGCCGAGCGTTCCTCGCCACGCCCATGCCGTTGTGGGATAACGTCACCGGCGAGCTTGCCCGCTTCACCACCTCCTTCACCTTCCAAATAAAGGTAATCAGTGCAAACACTGGCGATGGCTTGACATTCTTCCTCGGGCATTATCCTCCGACGAGCAAACTTGAAGGCGTCGGCGGGAGCCTTGGCCTCTTCAACAATGGCGTCGCGACTGGCGTCGTGGCGATTGAGTTTGACACGTACTTCAACGCTGGGGTCGACAACAGCGGTAGTCACATGGGCATCGACGTCAACTCCATCGTTTCCCGGGAGTACACCAACGTGGCCGTGCCAGGCAGGAACCTAACGTCCGGCCTCCCAATGACTTGCCACATCAGCTACGGTAGCGACACAAAAATCCTAGCGGCCGTTCTCCAGATCGGCGACACGACATACCGTGTCAACAGTCAACACAAGTCTTGACCTGAGGCAGTTCTTGCCTAGTGAGGTGGCCATCGGCTTCTCGGGTGCCACCGGTGTGGCTGTCGACCTACACCAAATAATGTCCTGGTCATTCAACTCCACCTTGGAACCGCCACCTGCACGGAAGAACTCCAAGTTTCCGTGGAAACTACTAGTACAAGCAACTGGACCGGTTATCGTTTTTTTGGCGATTGTGTTCATCTTTGTTGGCGTCCGACGACGGCAGCTACGCACGAGAAAGAAGCATCACAGAGCTCTCGCCAGAGGCCTTGAACATTTTGATTACCATAAGCTGGCGGGTGCAACCAACAAATTCTCACAGGAGAACAAGCTCGGGCAAGGAGGTTCCGCCTCTGTTTATCAGCGCCAACTGACAAATAGACATGTGGCGATAAAGATATTCACGCCAGTAGCATCCGGCGAAGGGAGGAAGGCGTTCGAGGACGAACACAGAATTGCGAGTGGCCTGAGGCACAAGCACCTAGTCCAATTGATAGGCTGGTGCTACGATCGCAAGAGGAACCAGGTTGAGTTCATATGCTGGTGGTTGGACGACAGGTACACACGTCTCTTTCTTGTGTATGAGCTTTTGCCACAAGGTAGCCTCGATCAACACCTACACAGGGGCAAAAGTTGGTTACCATGGTCCAAGAGGTACGCATTATAATTCCATCTAGAGAGCATTTACATCATTGCATGCAACATTGTTTTTTCTCGATACATAATGAATGGTTACATGCTTTGACAAGCAGGTACGAGATTATCCTCGACCTAGGCTCTGCACTGCAATACCTCTACGTAGACTGTGAGCAAGGCCAACAATGTATCGTACACGGCGATATCAAGTCGAGCAACGTGCTGCTTGGGTCTTCATACGGTGCCAAGTTGGGTGACTTCGGATTGGCAAGGTTTGTTCTCCACGAAACTGGGTCACAGACCACAGATGTTCTGCAAGGCACTTTTGGATATATAGACCCTGTGTTCCTCAACACGAGCCAACGGAATAGGCAGTCAGACATATACAATTTCGGGATTGTCCTACTAGAGATGGTCTCTGGAAGGGATCCAACAATGTGTCTCCATGATAGGCCTCCATTGTCATCATGGGTAAGGAGTTTGTACCATAGGAATTACATCCTGGACGCCGCAGATGAGAGGCTGATAAGCGGCGAGTCCAATGTCGCGTGTCAACAGATGGAGCACACATTACTCATTGGGCTCTTGTGCGTGCACCCGGATCCGAGCATACGACCGTCCATCACCCATACCATGGAAGCCCTGCGATCGGAGGAGCTGACATTGGACATTGCTCCCCTAGCGCCGGTGGCACTCTCGCTTGCATAGCCTTTGTCCAAAAATCAACAAAGTAATACCATATAGATGTATTCTTTTTTAGTTGATACCATAAATGTATTCAATGGATACATATTGAGTCGGGATGTACTGGGAATAAGAGTCATGTGCTAGAAAGCCCAATGTATGCATCAACTGATGACCAGCACAGTTGAAAAGTGGCTAGATTTCCTTGATGCTAGTACAAATGTGGTTTTTATATTTTATATGTTTTTAATAAATATTTGAACCATTTTTCCCATACTATATGCTTGTATGAAACTATAAATGACAATATCTAGTAAAAACAATACAAAGGTGAACATGTTTTCACGCGCTCCCATGTGGATAGTAAATTCAAAAAAAGTAGTAAAAACCAAAAGAATATGAAATTTTGGGGTATCGAACTTTTCGATCATTCTATTCACATATGAAGTTTCATGAAGGAATGTCACCCGGGTTATTTGGTAGTGCAGAAGCTTCATATGTGAGTATACCAGTCGACTATGTATGTTTCAATGAAAGAATGCCACCTAGGAATCTTAGTATCCCTTCAAATAGTGCTTTGCTTTGATTTTGTCTGAAATAGTATTGATGCCATTTCTTCGTGAAACTTCGTACGCGATTATACCAGTCGACCATGTATGTTTCAAAAAGTACAATTTTTTATATTATTTTTGTACTAATTTTTTCTTCTGAATTTATATTCATAAAGGGTTCCCATTAACCATGTTCCACAAATCCGTGTCCTACTTTAGTTGACAAATTTAACTATAAACATAAACATACATTGCTTGTATACATAAATTGAGCTAAATGTCTATCCACCAGCCCCCATATCAAACAATATAGTATAGTTGCATTAATCAATCAACATAGTATTTTTGTAAAATTGAAAAAATTACTTAGTTACACCTTGAATTAAAATCATTATTCATAAATGAATCGGCTAATAGTTAGATATCAAAGAAGGAGCACCTTGTATTTTTTTTGGTGGATCTTCACAAAAAATCAAATGATTGATATATAAACCTGATGTTCTATATATCAACTTGTTTCATCATCCGTTCTATTGTAATTATTTTATTCTATTAGTGGAATGCTATGCATTTAGATGATTCTATGGCACGAACAACTGATTCAAGTCTATTCCTAAATTATGCTTTGTATGTACTCTATATGGAGTTCTAACTGTGTTATCGACCCAGGTCTTAAATATCATATAGCCAACACAAACGACTTTTTTGCGAGGCTAGTATATTATGGAGGATTTTTTTTCTGCATGAGACCACCCAAATTATGTAATAAGAAGTTGGATGGAGTTATTTTCAAGTTCAATTTTGAGAAAGCAAACGACAAGGTGTTTTGGTCAGTTCTACAAGCATGCATGGTAGATGAAGGGTTTCTCTTTGATTTGGAGAGAGCTTGGGTTGATAACTTTGTTTAGAAAGGTTGTGTTTCCATTGAAGTAAATGATGATGCCGAATATTTTTTTAATCTAGGAAAGGGCTATGTCAAGGGGGGTCCTTTATTGCATATTATGTGTAATACAACTAATCATCAACCGGTGCATCAGTACAAGCTTGGCAATTAAATACTTTTTCTTTGCATTTATTAATCTTTTTTTGATAGATTTGTATTAGAGGGGTTTCATGATTATACAAAAGGAATAGTGTTTGGAGCATTTATCCGAAAGAGCATTGGAACATGATGGATATAGTGCTTGCCATTTAACTTCGCTAGACCATGACAGTGCTCATTGCAGACCCTTAATCATTGTTGCCTCTATCCTACTGTGGTGGAATAGTGGTGGAGGGTGTGATACGGAGTTGCGGTAGTGTGCGTATCTGTACTGGCTCCACCCACACATAAAACATATAAAGTGGATTAGTTATCTGAATCCGGAATTGTGCAATTGTATAAATAAGTAGCATAGACACTAGAAGTGATCCCGGACTCTCTGAGAATGCCTTAGCCCTACCCCATGTTTCATTGGTTTCACTACTCTCTTGTTCTTTACATTCATTCTTATGCACATTAATTCTCGTCACAAACACTCATGCAATATTTTCACTTACACGTGACTATTGTTTTTAATTACAATTAACGTGTTGGCACATCCGGATAAACCTCTATAAGGAGCAAAGACCATTTCCTAGCTCTCTTTGTGATTGATACAATTACTTCAAAAAGCCTACAACTCAAACATGTGGACTTGAAAGACATCATGCTTTTCTTCTGGCACCATCTCTGAGGAGCTAAACACATTTGGACTTTATTTTAATTTTTAGTTTACTTTGTTCACTAGTTATTTTACAGGTTCTAGGCAACCACGGCCGAGTTGGGGCATATGTATCCACTCGTGACAATAAAGCTCTGGGACTGCCTATTAAATAAATCTTCACATATATAGGACCAAGACCTAATTATGAAACATACAAAATTTATTCGAGTTTGCTTGGATTATTGTAGAGTAAGAAATTTATAGTTGATGGTAGAGAAGATCGGTATCAACATATGCAACTGTTTGATGGGTGGAACATCCAATTTAAATGCTTCCACGTATGATGAATGAAGTTAAATCTTTTTGACTAGACAGTAGACACTAATCACCAACGATGAAAGCATGGTTATACACTCATCTTGTAGGTACCTTTGCCAGTTGGGGAAAAAATTATAGTGCATTGATGACCCACTTTTACCCTGAAAATAAGCCCTATGGAGCCACACACATGACCGCCAACTTTAATAAAAAAATCATAACAAAGCCTTGCTAAGTCTTATTTGAGGTACCCTACTTTACTTGATAATTGTCCTCTTCATATTTATCCACCGTGGTTGGTGTTACATTTGTTTTATGGAGGGGTAAGTGAACCGTGTAAGACAAAACTAGATTTTCCAGCCAGAGGATCGATCTTTTATGGAGGGGGTAAGTGAGCAGTGTAGGACAAAACTAGATTTCGCAGCTGGAGGATCTTTTATAGATTATAATGTTACTTGAGCCTGGGGTTGTTAGATAAAATCCTTCCTAATCATTAGGCTTGAGAATTAGATAAAAAAAGGGGACATAGAGGAGTAGAGCTTGATTATCATTGTATTACATCCTACTCCTAGTTTGGAAAGGTAGAAAATATGAGCGGAAATTTTCAATATGCCTCTGATGTTGTTTTCCCGATCATAAAAGTTTATACTGAGTGTTTGTAGGTACTTAAGGCAAATGGAACGTTACACCAAGCGTACTAGTGTCCTGCATTAACAAATCTTGTGAAATGCCTACATAAAACAAGCCTGCTTACGTTTCACAAGCGTGTTATCCTGGGAGGATGGTGCAATAGAAAAACCAAAGACTTGAATGAAAGCAAAAGATGAATGTAGAGGTAAGTCAATGCACTATTAAACCTCATATAGACATAACTAAAGAACTTGCTATATTGAAAAAGGAAAGCTACAATATTATTCAACTGGATAGAGAGCTGACTTCCCTCGTTAAAGGATGCATTAAAGTATATATGCAGGAGAGAGTGCAGCGTTTTGGTGCCCAAGCTCATCTGCACCCGGTCAGTAAAAAAATCAAAATAAATACTAGAAAAATTTAAAAAAATTCAAATGATTTGGACATCTGAGCAGCTCTCAACAAAAAGGACAAATCGGGTCAGAACAGTGCGTGAACAGTAAACATTTTTACAGACCCCGGATTTGTCTTTTTTGCCGAGAGTTGCTCAGATGTCCAAATGATTTGAAAATTGGAGCGAAGCTCACGCATCAAAATATCTACCACGCAAAAAGAAATTGGAATTTTTTGAATTTTTCTAGTATTTGTTTCGAATTTTTTTCATCGGGGTGGGTGCAGCTGAGCCCGGGCTTAGAAATGGATTACTGCAGGAGAAACCTATATTGCCATGCTTCTTTGGAGGTACGTCCTACTATGGTTTATGTGACATTGGCTTCTCAATTAATGTTATACCTTATATTTCTTATGGCGAAATACACGATGAAATAGAACTTTTAGAAAGAACTTATGTTATTCTTCAAAATGTTCATACATTTTTTTGATACCTTTATTCGATGTTTTGTCCAAAAAGACTACTTGCCCAACGGTATTGACAAAAAAGACCATCTTCCAGACGAATTGACAAAACAGACTAGCCTAGCCGTGGCGGCAGGCGTGGCAGTTGACGCGTGGCGCCTGCCGCCACATGCGAAGGCGGCAGCCCCTGCCGCCATGATGTGAGGCGGCCGGTGGCCGATTACATGAAAAATACAACCCGGCGAGCCACGACGGAACGGGGGCAGGGCAAGTGGGCCCTGCCGCCATGCATCTAGGCGGCATGCGCTGATGGTGCAGCTGCACGGGAGCCGGGCCACCTGCACCCTTTTTTGGGCCATTGCTGATGCATGTATGTCCTGATGAATGGACCACTTGCTCGCTAGAGAACGAATCCTGATGCATGCATTTATCCACGCAAGTTTGCCATCGTTGTTTATTTCGATGAGGAGTGAAGTAAAGTGACCTGGCGCACGGCAGCAGTGCATGCCGCCTGACTGCATGGCGGCAGGGCCAGCCTGCCCTGCCCCTGCTTTCGTCACGGCTCGCCGGGTTGTAATTTTCCTGTAATCGGCCACCGGCCGCCTCACATCATGGCGGCAGGGGCTGCCGCCTCCGCATGTGGCGGCAGGCGCCACGTGTCGGCTGGCGCGCCTGCCGCCACGTCTAGACTGGTCTGTTTTGGCAATTCATCTCAGAGATGGTTCTTTTTGTCAATACCGTTAGGCAGGTAGTCCTTTTAGACAAAAAATCCCTTTATTCATCCCGTTGATCTTGTTGTGTTGGAGATACCTGGAGATTATTTTGTCCTATTATACGTGGGAGATTCTTTTTGAAAACTACCACGTGCTAACATAGACCACAAAGAGGAAACCGGTTCTCACAAATTCAAGCAAGAAGAAATGAAATACCATTTTTCTAAGTTAAAAAAAAGCCCTATCACCATGATCCCGAGGAAGGCGAGGAT